GTCCCTGCACGGCATAACCCATAGCTTCTCTGAGTTACTCAAGCCCCTTCGCCACGACAAGGCAGCAATCCTAGTAGATAGCAATGCTAGTAGATAGCAAAAGCAGTTGCTATGTGTTGTATCTGCTGCTACCTTTCCTTTACCTTGATATGCTTGCTTGTTCTTTGATTAAGCTTGCTTTTTTTTTCTCTTCTGAAGCTAAGGCATTTTGTTCAGTTTTACCAGCAACCTCTTTTTGGTATGTATTTTTTTTTGTCTTGTATGTTTAGTAAAGTTTATGTTACATTTTTTTACATACAAGCTCTCAGTTTTCTTTTATTAAGCCGCGCATGGCAAATGGGTGGTTTTAAGTATGTTTGATATTTTTATAGTAGATTCATATTGAGTTACTTCTTTATATATTGTTTGTTTGCTGTCTTCTTTTTTATCCACCTTCGCTGCTCACTGAGTATCCTACATGGCTGTTTGCCCTCATCCAGCCCATTACTGATACCAAGCACCGGTTTAGAATCAAGACAGCTTCCTTGGGATTAGATAGAAAGGAGAAATAGAGCTGGGTGTAATCTGCATACTGGTGACACTGAATTTCAAAACTCCGGACAGGTTCTCCCAGCAGTTTCATGTACAGTCGTGCCCCACTTAACTATTACCCCGTATAACAATGAATCCGCTTCACGACAATGTTTTTGCGAACGCAATAGCGATCGCAAAACAATGTTTTAATGGAGTTTTTTCACTCTGCGATGATTGGTTCCCTGCTTTGGGAACTGATTCTTCACATTATGACGATCAAAACAGCTGATCGTTGGGTTTTCAAAATGGCCGCCAGGTGCTCAGAATGGCTCCCTGCTGTTTTTAGGAGGCATTTTTTGCTAGACAGGCACCCGAAAATGGCTGCCGTATGGAGGATCTTCACTGGACGATTAGGCATTTCGCCCATTGGAACGCATTAACCAGTTTTTAATGTGTTTCAATGGGTTTTTTAATTTCGTTTGTGACATTTTCGCTCTGCAGCGATTTTGCTGGAACAAATTAACGTTGTCAAGCGAGGCACCACTGTAGATGTTAAGAAGCATGGGGGGCAAAGCAGAACCTTGAGGGTAAGCTGGATTCCCCTAGCACCACCTTCTGAGTTCTCCCTTCCAGGAAGGACTGGAGCTACCATAAACCAGTGCAAGATTCAGAGACGGTCCAGAAGGATACAATGGTCGTTGGTATAGTAAGCTGTTGAGAGGTCCAACAGGCCCATGCTCCCCCTGTCCAGTACCCAACACAGCTCATCCACCAAGATATATATTGTTAATTGAGAACAATGTTTCCCCTAATTTTCCAGAGTGCTGGACAGGGGCTCCATCCCATGCACATGGAGTTCTAGCAGTGACCAGAAGCAAATGGATGGCAACACTGATTTGGCTGTGCACCTCTGATGCAGCACTTGCAGCCTCACATAATTTACAGGAAACACTGGAGAGCTTAACTGAAAACATCTGACTGCAGAAAATTACAGTTTGCTCACAGAAGCACTAAACTCTACCTTTTGAAATGAACTAAGATAAAACTATGTCTATGCCTCAGAAGAGGACAAAAAATAAGGAAAGGTATGTAGATTCTTATAGTCTGTTATTGCTTTTATCAAGACAAGCATTCTGTCCTGGAGTTGGCAGGAAAAATACAGAAACAATCAGAACAAGACCAGGTACTTGTACAGGAACAAATGCTCCCTCTGGATGAGACCCATTCTGGTTTTGCCAACTGTTTCTGGGCAGAGACGATGCAATTACCTATCTCCTTGTTTCCTTCATAATCACTGGAGAGCCAGCGGGAGGGCATGAAATCAGACATATTTCCTGAAAGACCCTTCTGTCCTTTAGTAAGATGCCGGGCTACACATTTCTGGAGGCTTTTTGTTTGTTTGCCACACACATAGGGAATAAACCACACTTGTAGAGCTTCTGATCTTGACTCACCTGGAATGACAAGCAAAGCAATACAAGAAGGAAAGGCCAAAATATTCAGGGCAGAATTTTCTTGAAGGACAACTGCACACAGGGTCTCACACATGGAGAAGGAATGGCAACCACATTAATCAACAACACTCTGTAGTGGTTGGCATCTCCTGGTGAGATGATGGATGTGGGGCGGGGAGACCAAAGGGGTTGGGGTGAGAATGGTCTGTCACTCCTCCCTGAAATTCAGCACCTGTCTCCCAGCAAGGAAAGAGCACAACGTTCCTCAGATCTTTCCCAGCCTGAAATGCCTTGTTCTGAAGCACCTGTAGCACTGTGGGTGGTGTCTAGAGAGACCTCTTGTCCCACCAAGGGACAGGCAACCTTCTAGGGCCTCCCACCCGTAAGGTCTGAGACTGGGGAAAGATCCCTCCAGCCATGCTAGGCACCTTGCAAAACCAGAGTTTCTTCCCACTGGATCCACCCAGCCTGTGTCTCACTCTCATAATTAGAGAAAGGGGAGAGGAATGGAACCAGAGGCACAGCCACACGTCTTCACTACTGCTTTTCAGATGAGATATAGAGAAGAATAAAGGGGGAAGCTGGTTGCATAATTTAAAATTGCATGCCTTCAAATCAATTCCAACTTCCAAGGTTTCTAGGTAGAGATGATTTACCATTCCACCTCCTATGGGCATCCTATAGGGCTGTACAGTTTCGGAAGGTAAAGGTTCCCCTTGACATTTTTAGTCCAGTCGTGTCCAACTCTAGGGGGCGGTGCTCAAGCCATAGAGCCAGTGCCTGTCCGAAGATAGTTTCCATTGTCACATGGCCAGCATGACTAGGGAACACCGTTTTACCTTCCCACCGAGGTGGTACCTATTTATCTACTCGCATTTACATGCTTTCCAACTGCTATGTTGGGGCGGGAGCTCACTCCATTGCGTGGATTCGATCTTACGACGGCTGGTCTTCTGACCTTGCAGCACACAAAGGCTTCTGCGGGTTACCCCGCAGCGCCACCACGTCGGAAACCTCTGCTTAAAGGTTGTAGCTGCACTTCCTAGCAGGAAGAGGCAGCTGCCAGCAGGCGGGGTAAACCCTTATTCTGCCCTTTCAATTAGAGGTAGAGCGTAAGATTGGATTTCAGCCAATCCTAGTTACGATTAGGGAACTAGTATCCTATCTGAATTATGTAATCATGCTAAGTAAATAAGTAAATAAAAGAGCTCTTTGGACAGCTGAGCTGTCTACTCCTTGAACAAAGGGGTAGACAGTACAATATAGCTTGCCCATGACTACAGAACCTGTCTCTTTTCCTAGGATGTGACAAAGGGGAATCAAACTTCTAACCTCTAATTTGACACAGAGAGAGACCAGCTCAGCTAGCTTGTTGCATACATTGGTGGATATTGAAAAGCCAGGAAAACAAAGTACATTTGCCATAACAGCTTGGCTCCTAAGACCCTACTGGCTTTTCAGTTATTTCCTTAATAAGGTTTTCTGCCCAACTGCTTTCTTTAGCCAGCCACGTCATCTGCCCCTTTCCTAAGACGAGTTTCTGTTCAGTCCCTGCAGGCTTCCTTTAGCCAAGGCTGTAGCCGAAAGCCCCGCCATTTTAGAAGGAGGGGAGGCCTGAAGCGAGTCCTCTCTGTTCCCACAGCCGAAAGCACCCGCCAGTCCCTCACCGAACAAAGCCAGGAAACCCAGGCCCACACATAGGGGTCGAGAGAAGAGCCTGCCGCCACAAATGGGGCAGCGAAGGGGGTTTTCTCTTCTCCTGCCGGAAAGCGCCCCACAAAGCCCGCCGCTGCCAGGCTGCCTCTCGGGCCCTGAGGCAGTTGCTCCGCCGGGAGAGTTTGCCCGCCCGAACTTGGGAGGCGAGCGAGGCGACCGACGCCCACCCAAGGCACGGGGCTCCTCCTCGGGAGGCGGCCGTGCCAGGCGGGCCCGGGGCGAACCCTGGCCTTCGACGGCACCCCCTCTACCCCCCCCCGTCCAAGCCCTCCTGGTTCCTTCTTCACACCCACACCCCGACTCTCCCCCTGCCCGCCCTTCCCCCTCCCT